ATAATATCGTTTTCCAAAAAAAAAAAAAAAAATCAAAACACACTTTAGCACTCACCCATTGCATATTTACAAATGTCCTTAATGATAAGTAAAAAAGCTACAAACATAACCTTCACTAAATAATCAAAAACAGTTTTACCTTAAACAACCAAACTTGAAAAAACAACATCAAACCTCTAACTTTAAAGTTTCACTTGAATGTATAGCGTTGTTATATAATAAAATTAAGAAAATGTCGTTTTTCAGGGTGTTATTATTGATACTCAAAATATCTTATTGTACTCCAAGTTTTTATAGTTAGAAAGAAAAAAAATACTCTTATAAAGAGTGCACAATGTGGTTTAAAGTGCTAATAAAAGCAATTTTTTAAATATAGAACATTATTAGATGATGTTAGATGGCAAAAGAGGCCCCTTCAAATTTGGGGTCTTGTGCGACTGCACCTTTCGCTACCCCTTAACGTCCCATCTGGTATGGTATGGAATGGTGTAAAGCTCTCTTCTGAGGGACAAAACCGTTGCATTCACAAGAACTACGTATCACTTTCGAGACGGGCGGATAGACCATACGACACTAACACCACATTCGTCCTGTATTATCGATTTATCAGCTACACATCACCCTCTTTACTCTATTATTGATTTCTTGGGCCTTTATTTGTCATCCAAGTACCATAAAAATAAAAAATAAAATCAGAAAAACTAAAATGAAGGTCCTACTTCTTAATTTTGGGTTGTTAGATTAGTTTTTTTTTACCGTTAGATTTAATTATATTCAACCTCAGCCGTTGAATTTAATGCATTTAAAAACTTAATATTGCACAAACTTTAGGTTTCAATCCAAAAGTTATTTTAGACCCAACCAAGGAAGAAAATATCGGTAATATCGGAAATATCGGTAGTCCGAAAATACGGAAATATCGATGGAAATATCGGGATAATATCGATATCGATAAAAATTACATGGAAACCACGGAAATTGTAAGAAAAATTTGGAAATTTTTATTGAAACTTTACAGGATGTTTATTTAGTCAATTATCTATTAATTTATCATAAAAATTTGGAAGGAAATGCATTGCATGATGGATTTAACTGATTTAAGTTGATTATATAGCGAGCTGGCAAATATTGTAAGTGTAGAAAATATATAATAATTAATGAAAGAAGTTTAAACACACCATAATCGTTTATATATAATGAATTAGTACAATATTTTACACTTTATACATTGCATGGTAAGATACATGAGTGACTAAGTACCACATAGAATTCCTATGAGGTTCAAAATTTTCACTATCTTCATCATCACTATGTGTAGAGTAAGTGTATTGTGAAGAGTAGTCAGCAACCATAGCAATGGCTTTCAAGAACCGAAACCCAAAAGTCAATAGGAAACCGAATACTTCGGTATTTTTCGGGATTTCAGGATTACCAAACAAATGGGATTTGGAAACCAATCCCATATCGAAAATTTCGGTATTTTTCGGGATGGTTTTGGTTTGGGACTTTTTCGGTTTGGTTTGGGATTTTCGGGAATTTTTTCCAACCATACATGTAAGTGACCAAATAAAAAATAGAAAAATTAAAAACCACATGCCATTGACTAAGTAATTAATTGACACAATTTAAAATATAATACCACAAAAAATTTGGAATATGTGCAAATTTGTTTCTTGCAAAAAGAATTCAAAACAAAACCATATATATAAATAGTTTAGCTTGTTTTCATAAAAACGTAAGTGGTATGGTGGTCAAGTCGCTGAAGGAGTTAGATGGAAGGGGTTCGAACCCCTTTATGTGCATGTTTGAGACTTTTCAGAATTTTTCAAATATTTTTAGGTTCATCTCGCGATATTATATATAATATCGCGATAATATCCATAATATCGCGATATTATCGATAATATCGCGATATATTAACGAAAATTAAAGAAATACTCACAAAATATCGTGATATGAAAAAAACGATAATATCGGCGAAATATCGCCGATATTATCGATTTTTAAATCCTTGGACCCAACTACTGGAGAATGTTTAGTTTAGTTTAATACCTAAATTTTGGTGGGCCATCCTTTTAACCCTAACCTAAATTCTAGGTTAAATTTGCCCAAGTTTTAGGTTTTAACCTAAAACTTATTTTAGGCCCAACCATTATAGAATGATTGAGTTAGTCTAAAACCTAAATTTTAGTTTTTTGTTTTAACAAATGATATTATCTACACTAAGAGTATCTCCAATGGAAGTCTCTATTTAGGGACTCCCACCCACCACCACTTTTGAGTAATCAGAATTAAAAAGAATCTTTGTGTCCCTAAAGGAATATTGCCTCCAATGGTAGAGTCTTAATAGTAGAATCCATAAATTTAAATTTATGATTTTATGTGATAATTTGATTGGTTGCACATTTTTTATTTATGTTAACTTTTTTTTTAATTAATTAAAAGAATTAAAATTAAAAGCATTAGAATTTTCAATCAATATTGCGCACTCCATTGTCCAGTCAACGTGCACCATTTTATGTTTATGTTAACTATTTTTTAATTAATTAAAAGCAGAAAAACTAAAAGCATTCAAAGCATCAAAAGTTTAAATTAAGATTGTGCGCCTCGTTTTCCTCTTAAGGTTGTCGCTATATAGTCCCTATATGTGAGGACATACACCATGTATTTAGTAAGACTCTGTACTTTAGGGACTCACTTACCAATCCATTGGAGATTCATTTTGTCCCTATATTTGTTTTATACTTATTTGATACAGTGGTTGTCCCTATTTAAAAACTCCATTAGAGATGCTTTAAGGGGGTGGAGGAGTTGGCACAATGGGCTAGCAATAATGTGTTTCAAATTCGTCTTTAGCGAAAATCGAACTTAAGGCCTCTCGCTCACAAGTATAGAGAAATATTACTAGACCGTAGTACTAAGCAGCAAAATTTTAGCTTTTAACACAAAAGTGGGAGATGGTCTAAAAGTTGGCCCACAAGAAAGTGAAGCCTAAATTCCATCCAACGGCTAAAACAATTAAAAGAAATTATTTAAATCAAACTTCACCCAAAGGTTTAAAAAAAAAAGATCTAATAGCCCAAAATTAAATATAACAGCTAAAACAATTAAAAAATTATTTAATCAACCTTCACCTAAAAACTCTAGAGTGCTACTAAACCCTACTAAACCCATTCCATTATCATATTTCTTCACCCATATTATAATTCCACCAACCATAAAAAGTTAAAAAATTAAAATGTTATTTCTCCACCCACTATTATTCTTAAAATAACCTCTAATTAACCAATGGCATAAATATGTATGACTGCATTATACAATCACCAACAGCGGCTGCGATTTCATCTACAATCGCTCCTCAATGTACCAGTGAATTCACCTTCCCAAATTCAAGTCCCATATTTTGGCAACAAGCTGATAATGGTGCCACTAGCGCCACCTGATCCAATTCCACACTAGGCCTCCTCATTAACACCCCTTTCTGAGCACACCCACAATCATGGTGCTCCACGCAGCGACATTCCTCGCGACATTCCTCTCCGGCATCTCATTAAAAATCCTCTGTGCCCCATCAACATCCCGACACCATACATAACCCCCAAGTAGCAAATTCCAACTCGAAACATTCCTCTCACGCATACCATCAAACATTGTGCATACTCGACACCACCCCTAAATCCACTTACCAGAACCCTCTTATGCACATGTTCCCCTTCTATCACCAAACCCGACCTCGCACAAGCACCAGGAACATATGAATAGGAAAACCCATCAGCCTTGGCCTCCAAACCCACCAGCCATTTATATAATTCAACAGACTTCCGCATAATTTCGCTCTGAGTGTAGCCTCTGGTCATCTGGTTCCACACAGTAGTAACTGTGTTTTCAACATTTTTGAAAATTTTGAGGGCCCGATCAAGACATCCAAAAAAGCAACGTAGAATGATAAAATCCGAACAAGAATATAGCTTTTTGTGTGAGTCCTCATTGTTATTTTGGTTGTGAATTTGGGGTGTACTTGCAGTTCATGGGAAGTAGTTTTTTGCTTTGGTCCTTAAATGTAATTTTACATGAGGGTAAAATTGACATAAAGAAAATTATTAAAATGAAGGGTGGAGAAATAAGACGGTGGGGTGTGTTTATCAACAATCAAACTCTATAAATAAATGTTTTATGAGGTTGATTTAGTTAATTTTCAAATTTTATTGGAATCTAAATATTTTTAGGTTAAAATGTTCATAAAAATTAATTATAATAATCTACATAACTTTAATTTTTTTTTTAAGTTACATAATTTTTTTTTTCCTAAATTCATGCTTTAATAATCTCGGACTAAAATTTTAACCCAGAACTATTGGAGAAGAAAAACTATTTCTGAGTTAAAACCTAAATTTTCTGGGTTAAAAATTTTAGGTTTTAACCCAATTTTTTTTTTCCTCAAGGTTTTAGCCCAAGGATTATAGATGGTCTTAGTACTCCATGTCTACAAAACAGGCAAAACTGTTAACATACTTGAGAAGATATAAATATTTTGGCTTCAACAACAAGGTGTCATATTGACGTCGCAACCTCAAAGAGGTGACATTAATTATAAAAAAATAAAATTTCATTTGAGAGAAATATTTACTCGATTCCGTTCGGTTCGGTTTTTTATCGGTTTGCATTCGGTTCGGTTTGTATTCGGTTCGGTTTTTTCCGATTCGGTTTCGGCCTGGTTCCGTTTTTTTTTTTTTTTTTTATATATATAGCAAACAAATTTTCTAAGAACACAAAGCTTGCAGCCATTCTAAAAAGGCAATGATATCAAATCTGGAAGGCCAACGATACAAAATCTGGAAGGCCAATCATCCTCATTGGTTTAAAAGTTAAAAATTATGATTGAATCTTATGTGATCATTTTTCAAAGCCAATGATACAAAAATGCAGTAAGAACAAGAAAGAACCAGCAACAGAGTGGTTAAAACAAGCAGCACCAGCAACAGAGTGGTTAAACTTATCCACTGTGCCAGTATTAACACTTTATCATTCTGGGGCTGCTGAGCCAAGGCTGTCTTCTCGGAATTAAGCATATCCACCTACCAAATGAAAGGATAAAGAAATCAAGTAGTCAAATTTCATGTATTAGTATACTTCACAGTAATAATTAAAAATCCCCAACAGCAGCACCTTTCTCATGAGTGCTTCAGCTTCATCGACCTTTCCAGCTTCACCTAGGGCCTCCACTTGTTCCAGTAAGTTCTTTATCTTTTCCTCCAGAACAGATAGCTGTTCAGACTTTTCAGCTGACAGTGGAGGAGCCGGCGCAGGTTCCACCTCCTAAGGTTGTTGGTGCTGCTTGTTTAACCGGATTTTGATAAACAAGAAAGGTCCTCCCCGACATTAACTTGTTTTGGATCTCTGTATTTCTTCCTTACAGCATTTACTCGCTGAAATCATCAAAAGCCGCTCTCTCTCTCTCTCTAAAAAGCTCAAATCGTTTTGTAGTCATGAAGTTGAAGCCTTTATATTCAACAAAAAACCCAAATCCAGAAAGAAAGAAAAAAACCCAGAAATCCATCATAGTCTTTTAATTTTTTATCATTTGGGTAGTTTTGAAATCGAACCAAAACCATGAAAGAGTCAGAGAAAAGCTTGGATCCTCATCTCAGCTGTGAAATCCATCATAGTCGATTTCTTCTCCGCCTCGCCGAGGATCCCGTCGATACAAATTAGTACCGCAGGGCTCATCCTCCATCCCAAAAACTGAAACAAATCCACCCAGAAACTAAAACAAATCCACATGCAAGGATAATAAAAAATAAAAGGACAATCAAAATAATCACAGAGAAGTGAGACTGTGAGACTAACCTTTGCTGTCGAGACTCGAAACGACAAGAAGAAGTTGCGGCAAGATGAGAGACTTCCAATTCGAAAGGGGCGAGTGATTTGGAGGAAGAGAGGGAGGAGAGAGAGAGAGACTGACGAAGCAGAGACTAGAGAGGAAGAAAGGAGCGGAGGGGAGAGAGAAATAGAGTGTTTGAGAAAACCTAGAGGTGAAAACTGAATTGGGAGTGACGGCGGCTAGGGTTAAAACTTTAAAGGGTTTTGTTCATTTCTCATGAAAATTAAAAAAAAATTTCCAACATCCTGGAGCCGAGGGTTCAAACCCATACGCTCTTAGCTTGAAAAGTTTCACTGAAACCAACTTGGCAACATGTTCAGTTTTGTTGTAATTGTATGACTAAAATATTTATAAGAAAAAAACAATTAAATATATATATATATATTGGTTCGGTAACCGAACCTCAAAAACCGAAACCGAACTGGCCAGATTCGGTTCGGTTCGGTTTGACAGTTTCAGTTCGGTTTTTTTTCGGTTCGATGTTTTTCGGCCTCGGTCCGGTTCGGTTTTCGGTTTTTTGAACCCACCCCTAAGCAAAAGTCACCAAAATCTTGTCACCAATAAAGGAACGGTGTTGATTTCTTTCTTATTTTTTATCACCCAAATATAAATTGGTGTGTTTTGCTAATGTGAACTTAACCTAAAATATTGGGTGGTAATTACGAGCAACTCAGCTAATTTTTCCATCTTGATTTATAAGAAATGTTCATATTTTTAATTAATACTTGTGAAATAAATAAGAGGGAATGTGTGATCAGTATATATCAATGTTTATATATTATTTTTGTGGCTTAAATTAACGAGAACTGCAAAGATTTTTTTTAATGCTCAAGTATATAAGCATTTCTCATGTAAAATAGAGCAAATGGCTCCACCAAAGGGTGTAATGTCAGCTATACTCGTGCGTCTCTAATGCTCCTAGGAACTGGATGCACACTTTGGCCCTTAAGAGAATTGAGAATCTTGATGAGAATTCCCATCAAGAATTAGCTCGAAAATTAAGGAAGCGCCCTAGTTGGCATGCTCAAAGTAATCCAATTCAAGAAGTTGAGAGAGGGAGAGAGAGAAAGAGATAAAATTGCTCAAGCATCGATGGTGCTATTAATGTTGAAGAGAAGACATCTCACTCACATTGGTTGAGTGAGTACTATTCATGATCTTCAATATTAATTTAACTCTCTACTTAAGGAAGTATACACATGGTGCAAATTTAGCTCGTATTTCCTTTCTAGTTGTATTCGAATAAATTTTAGCATATGTGGTGAGAACTTAAATGAAGAAAAGATAACTTGGTTACCTAATTCTATTCCTTGAAGTACTAAGTGATTGATCCGTGTCGAAAATGTAAGGAGATTGCGGATGAGTTCACATTCCTTAATTTGGACTTAGAACATTTCATCAACATTTCATGATTGAGCAATATTTGTTTGGACTATTTTTCGATTTACCAAATATTTGAGAAGTTAAAATACTTTATAATTTTAAGAGGAGTGTTATGTTAGCTTGCGAAATTATTGTTCTACACTATTCCTCAACTTACAATAAATGTGTTTTTTCTTTAAATATGGAATGCTAAAAGTCAGTTGATCAAAATGGTTAGAGATAGATCATTACTTGATCCACCCACTAAGTGATCAACAATACTTGGAAATTTTAGTAAGTTTTGGAGAAGCCTCAAGAGAGTGCTATTCAATCTAGCTCGAATTAGTGAGCTAATTCACTCCAATTGCAATTTTATTTTAGTTGATAGCATTAAGTAGATGCTCCCCATGTTTTCCCGAAAAATTTATTAATCTTCCTACTACTCAAGGGCAATTTATTTTTTTATTGTACATTTTCGTAAAGCCTTGGTTTAACAACAACTTTATATGTGCATAAAAAAATATGGGAATTGTTATTGGCACTCCAAAAATCTCATTCTACACTCCAAACTTTCTATGTTAGGAAAGAAAAATACACTTGTGAGGAGTGTAGAATGAGATTTTTGGAGTACCAATAACACTTCCCTATATACTATTATACTTTTCTTGGAAAACCATGAAATTGCGAGTAGAATTCCAATCCCTTGGAAAGGATTTTCGGCAATTTTGGGTAATACCATTTTAGGTGGTGTAGGTGCAATTTAACTCCTCCAACCTAGTAGGAGACGTTTCTTGAAAGTTTGCTACCTACAATTAGTCCGTAAAACCCTAAGGTAATTGAATGAGCGAAGAAACGACTTTGAATTTTCAATTAGTTTACACCACTTCTCACATATGATGAGATGGTTGTCTAGGATACATGCAATGGTTGACTAATTTATTGTGACATTTAAATTGCAATAGAATTGACTATAAATTTGTTCTTCACATTGAAAAGATCTTCCAATCTTTAAGCGAAGATGGGGGAAAATGAAATATCCTTTTGTTGATGCACAAAATCAGCGAAGACTTTGGTACAACAGAAAGTGTCAGGTTTTGTGACCTTCGCTTGGTTGCTTCGGTCACTAGTGAGGATAAGTACGTAAATGAATAGAGACAGAGAAGCAAACACAGGATGTACGTGGTTCACCCAGATTGGCTACGTCCACGGAGTAGAGGAGTTCTCATTAATTGTGAAGGGTTTACACAAATACATAGGTTCAAGCTCTGGTTTAGTGAGTTCTAGTGAATAGTTTAGTACAAAATGACATTAGAGATTGTTGTGGGAGAATGATCCCTATTTATAGAAGAGAGTTTCTAGTTTTGTTCTAATATTGACACATGTCGTGTTGTGATTGGCTTCTGATGTTGACACGTGTCGTGCTGTGATTGGCTTCTGATGTCGACACGTGTCGCATTGTGATTGGCCTTCTGGTTGAAGGGAAACTCTTCTGGGTCCTTGACGGTATAATGTTGACCGGTGCTCGGTAGTTTCGGGATTAGTCAAGTATGGTACAAACAGTGCTCCGTTAAGTTCCCGAGTGAGGGAAGCTCCTCGGTTGGGGACTTGCAAGATCCAAGCCGCTGAGTAATCACGAAACTTCTAAGTACCGAGGTGTGGTATCGTCTTCACTTGCCTTATCTTTCTCATAGGTAGATGTGGCATCTTCTCTGGAAGTACGCTTCCTCCATCCAGGGGTGGTATCTTTAACCGATGAAGATGCACAAGGTAATGTATCAATTTCACTTGAAGCTTACTTGTAGTTTCGGGCTTGGTCAAGTGCGATACAAACCCTATAGTAGGAGTCCCCCAAGTCGCTGAGCTAGGAGATCTGCCGAAAGAGGTGACAGACAAGGTAAGCAGTCAAACTTCCAAGTAAGCAACCCAGGATCAGAGGTTTAACTTCGGCTTCCGGTTGATTGTTCTCCTTCTCCTTGTCTCTCATTCAACTGCCAGGATAAGGAGAAGCAAATGGATAAGAGATGATATGAGATACTTTTGCTTTTGAAGAAGTAACTTTCCACAGGCTTATTCTTGAACTGTGCTGGAGGGTTTTCTGGTGCCCTTCAGAGTATAAGGCCGACTCAAAAATTTGAGGGTCAAAACAAGTCCATCAAATCTAGAGTACGTTCGACCTTGATGATATGGGATACTTTTGCTGTTGACGGAATAATGAATGTGGTATGGAAAGGTGTCGTGCTGTAGTGATCTGTTTCAGCTCACCGTTGAACCTTCTGCTTCAATCTTTTGCATGGCAGAAGTGGTGTGCAACCTTTTGCATTTAAATGGTCATTCAGAACATTCCTTCATAGTGACTCATCCACGCTTGGCAGCTTCAGTGTAAAGAGCCAATATCTGATCAACTGTCATGAGGTATTTGCCGGTGGAATTCGTGACCTTGACAGCAGTTGAGGATGAGTACTCGAGAGCAATGCTAAGTAAGCAACCAGGCAAAGGCTCCAGGCAGTCAGTTCCAAATTGGAGGTTTGATTTCAGGTTCCGACTGACTGCTCTCTTTCTCCTTGTCCTGCAGGTGTGGACAAGGACAAAGACAAAGACAGGGAGAAAGCATGATATGGGATACTCTTGCTTTCGACCCTGATGATATGAGATACTCTTGTTCTTGGTGTGGCTTATTTGCTGAGGTATTGTCGGGGGGGAAATAAAGCTGAGTATTTCGAGAGGTTATGTTGAGGGTGCCTTTTCGAATGCGAGAAAGGGTTGAGCATTTTTGCAGGTTTGCCTGTCCGTTGAGGAGGGAGGTCAATGTATATAGGGATTTCCCAATAACAAGTAGTAATGCTATTCCTTTACCCTTCTGGGTCACAGCAATGTAGTGGGAGCTGCCAGCTTCACGTGTTTTAATTTTGTCAGAGCACTTTGAAAAAGTGGTATGTGGTATCTGGAAAGCTGATGTTACGTGTGAAGATTACACACAAGCTTTATCTAAGGAAATCTGGCTCTCGAAGTTCTGAGAGTTGTGCCTCTTCGGTTTTCGAACAAGCAATCCCGTCGAGGATCTGACTCTCGAGATTCGGAAAGCGGTGCTACTCCGGTTTTTGAGAAAGTAATTATGTTGGGAGTCTTTTCTCGAATGTGAGTAAAGGTTGGACGTTCTTTGCCAACCTGTCTTGCCGCAAAACACGGAGGTCGACACACATAGGGACTTTCCAGTTGTCAAGCAGTGGTGCTGTTCCTTTACCCTTATGGGTAATAGTAGGGTAGCTGGAACTTCGAAATTCTCGTGCCTAAACTTTGTCAGAGATCTTTGACAAAGTTATATGTGGTACCCGAGGAGTTGATGGTGCATATGGAGAGCGGTGATTGAACAGTGAGATTCACGTGCTTTCTACTTCACCAGAAATCTTCGACAGATTGCCCATAATTTCCGCAAAGCTGAGTGTGCATGTGACAGGTGCTGACGAGGCTGAAAAAGCAGGTGCTTCTTCGATTTCTGAGATCGGCCCTCGTGGTCTCTGAGCAGCCCAGCTTTTGAGAAAGCAAACGCCTCTTCGATTTCTGAAGCTCCGTCGAGTGCAGATTTTTATAGAGGCTGGCATTAAGTTCCACAGCACACTTGAATCTCTACCAGTAGAAGCTCATTTCTTGCACTTCTAAGATCTTGATTTGTCTGACCTCTTCCCTCTTCAACACATTTGAAAATGTCTGGACCCTCCGACCGTCGTTTTGACTTGAACCTTGGAGAAGAGACAACCACGCCTTCTCCAGACAACATATGGCGCCCATCCTTCAT